CCGCCTTCACCTTCATCCCGAGGCCAATGGCCATGCGAGCAACCTTCATACCCACTTTGCCGAGCCCAATGATTCCGAGCGTCTTATTGCCGACTTCGACGCCCACGAGCTTGCCTCGCTCCCACTTGCCGTCTTTCATCGTGGTATCCGCGCGTCCGACGTTACGAGCTGTTGCGAGGAGGAGGGCAATCGTGTGCTCTGCTGCGGCGAGAATGTTGCCCGCAGGCGAGTTGACGACGATGATGCCATGATTGGTGGCGGCGTCCACATCGATGTTATCCACGCCTACGCCTGCTCGGGCCACGACGCGAAGCTTTCTGCCGGCCGCGAGAACGGCAGCGTTCACTTTCGTCTCGGATCGGACAATGAGGGCATGGTAATTGGGAATCGCTTCGACAAGCTCGTCTGCAGACAGGCCAATGCGGTTGTCAACGTCGTACTTGTCCTTCAAAAGAGCAAGGCCATCGGAAGACACTTTCTCAGGGACCAGAATCCGGGGACGGTCGATGGCAAAAGGGGTTATAGTCGAAGCTATCTTTTCGATTGCCGACGGTGCCATTGCAAATATGTGGCACAATGTGCAATACTTGGTTCAATTGGGCTGGCTTGGTACGAAGTGGTTAACACTGACGATGACAGAGCGAAAGCCAGTACTCGCGGGTTACCATCAACTTTATTTCCTCACACACGCGACAGCCGCTAAGCTTTCATACAAAGTAACCCCCTCAAAACCCCTCATAGCAACGTTAACTACGTCTGAAGTCCAGGGAGCTACAAAGAGCGGGAAGCTGCATGTCTCGTTCGGATCCGAGGAGAGCTATTCCGAGGTGGCAGTGACTCGTGAGGCGATATCGAGCCCCTCCACGCAGTCAATGGCAGCCCCCCAGCTAATGGTATGTGCTAATAGGAGCTGCACTATCACGTTGCAAGGCGAACAGACGCGGGTTCAAGAGCACACCCTACCTATGACGAGGCAGAATCGCCCGGCGATACACCAAGATGCGACGGTTTAGAGTGTAAGTTGGGCGTGAGGACGCGCGACCCCTCACTTCCCCCACGTTCTACTACTGTAGCGGCATCCCGCCCCCGCATCTTCACTGGTCAGCCTGAGGAGATCGATGTCTGGGGCAGCGGTCTGCTTGCGGCCATTGATGCTGGCTGAGTCAATTGCGGTAAGCGCTGCCGGTGCCCTACACGTTGGAGGAGCAGCCTCATTGCAACTTGAAGAAGCAGTCGGAAGGGATCCGGCCATGTCGTCGAGGGTCTCGGTTTTCGCGATTGGTGGATGTTTCTGTGAGCTGGAATCACAATATGCATCTCTAGGGTCTTCCCTACAAAAGATGAGGACCTGGATGGGAGACTTGACTCTACTCCAGTGATCGTCATCTTACCGTACTGAGGATGCGTGATTAAAAATCGCCGTGCTCGGAGTTTATGCTAACAGTGACAATTCAATCAATAGCAGATTGTGACCCAAAAGGTTTGGTCCTCGGAGTCCGAAGTTGGAGCGATTTAGTAGAATCGTAGACGTGTCAAGGAGCCCATAACCCAATGAACCAATTCTGAAAGTTGGCCTCTTTTTTGAGGGGGGAGTTGCCTGGAGTGATAAAGAAGCCAGGTCAGCAGGTCTTGCGTTTCTTCAATATTGACTATGGTAGGCAGCATTTTAGTTCTAAATGCCGTGTGTAGGCACCGGTCATTCTGATGCAGTCACATTTGTCTGCTGGGCATGCGATTGATCACCATTGGATGGAAATCCCGTTGCCTGCGTGCCGGGGCTGTTGATGATATCAAAATGACAGAATTTCACCACATTGAGGAAATCCGATTCGAGTACGAGATTGAATCTTAGATCCGTTATCTGATGTTTATTTGGTTCTTCCACACAGAACCTTCCTTCTTCCAAACTATACTGGCAGGTCAGAGCGTGCTGTGGCCAAGACCGCCGCCAAGCCTTGCGCCTTTTGGGTTGTTGTAACGACGTGTTTCCTCTGGTCTGGGCTGATTGAAAGACGGAGAAGTGAGCTGCGATTGAGACGTGTATGAAGGTCAAATAAACCGAGAACAAAACGCTTTGAAGGCATTGAGTGTTACATGTGTAAGTGGTCCAGTGACAATTCGGTAGGCCACTGAGTGGCACCTGTCAGATGCTACCGCCACCTGTCCGGCCATTCCCGTCTGCTAGGCACTTTGCAGTATTTCCGCAGCCGTCCAGTGGCCAGTGCAAGCTGAGAGGTGAAAGCCACAGCGAATAGGACCCCACCTCCACTGCCGTCATCACTGCCTTAGGCAGGGACGATTTGTACAGTCTCGACCCCCAGTTGCCCCTTACCTGGCTGGTATCAGCGCCGCGTGGATACGGTTAATTCATAATATTAATCCCAGGCACACGACGTTCAAGACCCAACCGACAGGTCATCTTTGCGATCTTGCGCCCTCCCCTTTCTCCGATCACACCTGCTACGACTACAACACCTCGCCCGCCGATTTGCAACTCCAATCGCTCGCCTCAATCCGAACAACCCATCCTTCAACTCGCGCATTCGAACAAAGGCCACCATGTCTCGAAGACCGCCGCCCAATCCCGCCGCCGAAAGAGCGGCCCAAAACTCGCAGACCATCAAGAGCCTGTTGAAGCTGGAGTGCAACAAAGTCTGTTCTGACTGCAAGAGAAACAAACGTGAGTCTTATCCCGTTGTCTGATCCCCGACTACCTCAAGTCTGCCCGCTGACTCTCGCGCTACGACAGACCCGCGATGGGCCAGTTGGAACCTCGGTGTCTTTATCTGCATTCGTTGTTCGGGCATCCACCGCGGCATGGGCACACACATCAGCAGAGTCAAGTCCGTCGACCTCGATTCCTGGACCGACGAACAACTCCAGAGCATCCTCAGTTGGGGCAATGCGCGCGCAAACAAGTACTGGGAGGCCAAGCTGGCGCCCGGCCACGTTCCCTCCGAATCCAAGATTGAGAACTTTATCCGCACCAAGTACGAGCTCAAGAGATGGAAAATGGACGGCCCCATTCCCGATCCCGCCACCCTGGACGCCGACGGCGACGACGATGTTCCCCTGAGCATTGTGAAGGAGAAGCAGAACGTGGAGAGGCGGGAGTCGGTTCGCAAGAGTTCGGTTGGCAAGTCTGCCGCCCCTCCCAGGAGCATCGCTGCCCCGCAGCCGCAGGTCGATCTTATCGGCGGTGATCCCATCCCCCGGGCAAGCACCGCCGGCCCGCAGCCCGGAAAGGTCGTCCCTCCCAAGTCTGATCCGGCTCCCCCCAAGGCCACGAGCACGAAGGATTCGCTGTTGGGCCTGGACTTCTTCGGAGAGCCCGCTGCTCCGCCACGACCTGCTAGCACCAACAACGCCGGCGGCATGGGAGCCCCCTCCAGGCCAGACCTCAAGCAGTCGATCCTGTCGCTCTACGCCTCTGCCCCGAAGCCACAACCTCAGCAGCAACAAGCCCCTCAGGTCCCAGGTGGGCAGTTTGGCAGCATGCCTTCTCCCACCTTTGGCCAGCAGCAACAGCAGCAGTCCTTTGGTGGCATGAACGACGCCTTCAGCAGCCTCAGCTTCTCCAACACCACCAGCCCCAAACCCGCCGCAGCCGACCCGTTCGCCAGTTTAGCCAGTCCCGTCAGCAGCAGATCCCCGCCCCCAGCTTCCTCGAACGCCTTTGGTGGCCTCGGCGGAGGCAGCTTCTTCGACTCCAAGCCCGCCGCCGCTCCCGCCCCTCAACACCAGAAGCAACCATCAAACAGCGGCTTCGGTGGATTTGGCTGGTCCAGCTCCCCTGCCCCAGCACCCGCTCAGCAACCAAAGCCCACCCAGCCAGCATCCTCTGGCATGGGAGACCTGTTCGATCTCTCCTCGCCCTCTCAACCCGCCGCCGCCCCTAGCCCTGCTCCCGCCGCCGCTTCCAGCTCCGTCTTCAACCTCTCGAGCCAGCCAAAGGCTCCGTCTCCTGCGCCCAACCCAACAGCGGCTGCCACGAGCACCATCAATTCAGGCAACTGGTCAGGTTCTGACGTGTGGGGATCCAACGCATGGAGCACACCTGATACTTCCGCGGCGGCAGCGCCCGCTCCTGTGAAGGCCCCGGAGGCTCCCAAGCCCTCTGGTGGTTTCGGTGGCAGCGCCGATATTGGCGGATGGGGTGCCTCTGGCTCGTTTGCCAGCACGCCCATCGTTCCCGGAGCATCTGGTGGATTCAGCACGGCGCCCAAGGTTGCGGCCGACGAGGAGTTTGGAGGATGGACGAGCAGCACGACCCCGGCCGCCGGATCAGGATCAGCCAAGCCCATCGGCGGCAACGAGGATCTGTTTTCCAACGTCTGGCAGTAAATGGACGGAACGTAGTGGAGTTGCAGAGCTATTTGCGGCCAAGGCGGGAGATTCAAGAGCCCTGGAGCGTTTCGTCACCAGTCTATAAACATTTCAAAGTAAGGGATGGCATCACGGACACGCGGACGGGGAGGTTTCATGTGACATGTCTGTATTTCGGATGCAAAAGCGTCATAGATGAATACTCTTTTTCTTTATTTTGCAAATAAGACTGAGCAAGCCAAGTTGAACATTCATGATACCATATAATGTATTGTGTGCAGTACTACAGTAAGTACAATCGGCCAGTCAATAGTCATCGTGCTATTCCCCCAAAGTGTCCAAAAAAAGAGAAAAACTCCGGTATCCATGCGCGCAGGGTATTTGAACGTCCACGCCCAACGTCCTCGCCATCATAACAAAGTTTTGCTCGCCGTATGTTCTCTTACGCGGTCTCCATTGCGCCGTCGAGAGGGTCCGTCTTTCCAGCCCACGGTGACCTCCGGAAATCAGTGCAGCCGGCGCCGTGTTTCGTCTTCCGCCCAGTGGTCATCCTCCTGTCGTTTCTCTTGGGTCTGTTGATCATGTCCCGCCCTGGTCTATCGTACCACACCAGAGAACAAAGAAAACACGCCCCGCCTTTTCCCGTCCAAAGAATCGTTTCGAAGTCATTTCTTTCAAAAGAAGAGTTTGGAGATGTAAAACAGGACGATAAAGATGCCGATGATGATGCCCGACAGCTTGAGGATGGCGACCTTGTTGCCGGAGGCGGCCATGCGGGTTAAGCGGCCGGCGGAGCCCTTGAGCTGGGTCGACATGGAGGAAAAGGTTTCGGACTGCGCGGAGGGGGCGGGACGTTAGCGATTATGTCTCTGGCGGTTTTCACACGCGGAAAAGGGGAGAGCGAGGGTAGCAGCAGCAGGGGGCCGGACGTACAGTGCTGTCGATGACTTCGTGGGCGCGCGCGTTGTCGTAGATGTCGACAGTGACACCGCGGAGGGCGGAGACCTTGGCGGAGAGCTCGTCCAGGCGGGCGTTGTTCTGGCGCTCGCGCTCGTAGGCTTCTGACATTTTTGCGGTTTTTTGGTTTGGTGGTGTTTTTGGTTTCGGGACGGATAGGGGGTCGAGCGGGTGCGATCACGGCGTTCGTGCGCTCACAGAGAGTTCAAGGCCGGAGAGTATCGGAGAGGTCTGGTCGGGACGCCGTCGGGCTCGGCGATGAGGGATTACGTTCCGGTTTGGAGGTCGACTGCGGCGGGATCGCTTCGTCGTCGTTGTCGGTGTCGCAGGACGTACTATCGCCTCCCGCGCAGGTTGGAGTAGTCTTGGGTTGTGGCGGTGTTGTTGGGGAAGCGGTGCGCAGATGTACTTTTCTTCCCTTGCCCAGCTGATGGTCTCGTTTGTTTCGCGCGGTCCTTAGGTCTGTAGGGTTGGGAGTTGTCAAAGGGGGTTGCGGCGGGCGTGGTTGGTGTTTAGCTGGCGGCGAAACAATGACGATGGCCGGCCCGGGCGTTCTGAGAGGCCAGTCGAGGCGAGCGAGGCTGGACGGGCACCTCACTCTTCGTCGCTGCTGCAGACCACCACGGGGGCGGCGGGATTGACGGGGGCCTAGAATCCCGGGTAGGTAGGTTCCTAGCTGCTTACGCTGAGCATAGGGGAACCTAACCTTGAAAGGGTCAGGTCCAGTGTCACTGCTCGGATCGGTACCCTTGCTGGTGGGGGTTTGCGCGTCAGTTCCTGCGCCACAGTGGCCATGGGCCACACGGCCCCCCGAACCCGAGCCAGCAGCGGTGCCCCCTCCATTTTGTCTGGTCCAGTGCTGCGTGCACCGCGAGCCACTGGACGTCAGTACCCCGCGAATTTTGCACTAGAGGCGGCAATTACCTCACTGTCAGCGCCGCAAGGTACCACTGCCACTGGACCGTAGCAGTGACATGGAAAATGGAGGGCTGAAAAAGTGACGGGAGCTTACTGGACACTTTTTTCCGTTCTGTCTCTTCCGGCGATCCCAGAGCTGGCTGCATGTTGTCAGCTGGCACCCCAATCCCCAGACGAAACATAAACATCGTGAAAAGAGCAAGATGCACCAGCTGGCTTATTCCTTGAGAAGCCGGGAGCCCAGCAACATGCCTTTTATGAAGCAAGCCCCGTAGCATCGTCCAATGGCTGCATGTTTAATCTAAGGTAGTTCGGCCGAACAAGTAATGAAATTGAAGAAAGCAATAAAAAGGTTAGAAAGCAAGGAAGACAAAAGCCATTAAGAGTGCCGTGTCCCGGCGCCCACGGCCTCTGCCCGACGAACGAGAGAGCCAAGCCCAACACCACAATCAGAGCTCCCCCTCCTCCCAAACAAGGCGAAAAGAAGAGGCGCAGGCCTGCCTAGGCGGCTCTTCACCTATCGGACCCCACTAAATCACTATTACGTGGAGCTGTGGACTCGCTCTTCGGGTCAGTGGTCATCACAGACAGGCGCAGCTGCGGAACCGTCGAAAGTACGGATACACTACGCATGTACCTTGACCTTGGACCTTGGACCTCCCACCTAGGACCTGCCTTCCTAAGGTAATCACCTCCAAATACCCATCCAGGCACCTCTTCGTGTCCGTGAACGCCGTCTTCCTTCAACTTTTTTTCTCCTCAACCTCTCTTCCTCTCCGAAGGAAACGACGCCGACTCTCCCGTACTCTCGCGCCGTCAAGCATCATCGTCATGGGCCTCCACAACCCGCTGCCGTCGTCTATGGCGTGTAAGTCCACCTTTTTCTTCCTGCCCTGTGCCGGTGATCCCGCGCCCCGGCGCTTCGCCCGTCATCACGACGAGAACACACGAGCTGACTCCCCTCTCTCAAACAGCGGAATGCAAAAAGTGCGGCAAGATCTTGACCTCCTTCATCGATCCGCGTCAAGCGTTCAGTCCCGACAAGATCATTCCACCCTCGATCCTCGCCAACGCAAAGGTGAGCCATATTCCACACCCCGCCCTCCCGCGATCCTTCCTCCCCGCCTTGGCGCACAAACGCCAGCAGGAGGCCTCCCGAGAAAACGCCCTCCCCTAAGAAAGAGAACCACAGTAGAATACAGATTGCTGATTTAATCCCCGCGGAACAGGGCCTCGCGATCCTCACAGTCCTCAAGGCAGGCTTCCTCGGCTCCGGCCGTTTCGGCAGCGGTCTCGTCGTCTCGCGCCTCCCCGACGGATCATGGAGTGCGCCAAGCGCAATCGGCACCGCAGGTGCGGGCTTTGGCGGACAGATCGGCTTCGAGCTCACTGACTTCGTCTTCATCCTCAACGACGCCAGCGCCGTCAAGACGTTCGCCCAGGCCGGCTCCCTCACCCTCGGCGGCAACGTCTCCATCGCTGCCGGTCCCGTCGGCCGCAACGCCGAGGCAGCAGGCGCCGCCTCCCTCAAGTCCGTCGCCGGAATCTTCTCCTACTCCAAGACCAAGGGCCTGTTCGCCGGCGTCTCGCTCGAGGGCTCCGTCATCATCGAGCGCCGCGACGCCAACGAGAAGCTCTACGGCACCCGCTACACCGCCGCCCAGATCCTCACCGGCAGCGTCCGCCCGCCCTCCCAGGCCGCGCCCCTCATGAACATTCTCAACTCGCGCGCTTTCAACGCCGGCCGCACGGGCCAGGCCGACGACGCCATGTACAACGACGTCCCCGTCTACGACCAGGGTCACGATGACGTAGTATGGAACGGTCGCCGGGGAAGTGGATACGGCGAGGGGGAGTTCAACAACAACCGCAGCAGCATGTACGGCGGCGGCGCCGGCGGTGCCAGCGAGTTTGGCGGACCGAAGCGATCCAGCACGTGGCAGGACGACGTCTACGACCGACCTACCGGCGACACCGGCTTCGGCGGAGTTTCGCGCTCCAACACGTTCGCGTCAAGAGGGGCCGACAGCTACGTCTACAGAGACAACCCGTCCCCCAACTTTGGTGCAGTGTCGGATCAGAAGACAGGCCCGCCCGGCAGACCTGCGGCGCCGAAGCCCAACTTTGCGTCCAAGACTGCTATGCTGAAGAAGAACGAGGCCGTGGCGCTGTTCACTTTCGAGGCTGACCAGCCCGGTGATCTTGGCTTCAAGAAGGGCGATGTCATTACGGTGCTGAAGAAGACTGAGAACGAGACTGATTGGTGGTATGTATCTCTCGAATTTCCATTCACACACATGGCGAAGACTGACAACCTGCGCAGGACTGGCATGATTGGAACGAGGCACGGCATCTTCCCCAGCAACTATGTCAAGCTGAAGGAATAAGATTCGAGAATCGTCGGGGCGATATAATGCGCGCTTGAATACCCCAACCTAAGTTTCAGTCATTTTGGGTCACTGCCCGGTCAAATTGCATCTGCAGAGACGGAGGACACAGAGAGGAGCGCTTTTATTTTCTTGATTATTCCATGATACTCCGGATGGTATTTTCCATCCTGTTTTATCCATGATTTCCTGTTTTCAGGACGAATGGTTTCTCTCCTAATTATCCACGACTTCTTTGGCGTTTTTGGAAAGGGGCATGTCGGGTTACCCCTTACTCTTCATTCTAGTCTCACAGCATAAACGTCGGTTTTGGTGAGAGGTGGGAAAAAGAAGAGCTTCCTTCATTTTGCACACAAGGCCTTTACTTCCTGGCTTTAAGCTGCGTGTGGTGACAAATTTGGTCTGCGCTTTCCCCGCCCGTCGTTAGTGAGAGGTCCCGTTGTTGCACAGACGCGGGCACGGGTGCATATGCATGTCACTCTTTGGTGTTTAATGCCCGTCGCGTTTCCCCCGCCATGCCGGGATCGCGAGCCTCGGCTTGTTGTGAGAGTCGACGGTTGCGACGACAATGGCACGACGTCAGATACAGGCAGGGAAGGGGGGTTGGGGGATCGGCGCTTGCCGCTTGCCGGCGGTTACTGGGGAGGATCCTGGGGTAAATGGAGGGGGGGAATGTGTGTGTGTGACTGTGGTTCGCATGTTTCATGAGACGACGATCCGGGGAAGGTTGGAGATGCGGGTTGAAACGTTGTTTTGGGGGGCATGCTGAGTCAGGTGGTTGACGTCGAATGTCCTCCATGCATCTTATTCAACTAGTTTGAAGCCTTTGGTGTGGTTTTGTGTTTGTGTAAGAGCGCCAAGTCCATAAACTACTGTACAAAAGAGAAATGCTTGGTTTTATCACCAATTCATTTATGAGCATATTGATTTGTCGTCAGTCTTTTTTGAGGCTAGTCAATCCTCCATTCTTGGAACTACAAATGACTTCATGAGAAATGAGCACTATAGTAACGCAGAATTGAGTAGCCTCCTATGGCTCCGAGCTCCTCCATGTCCGCTTCCATTACTTCCATGACCTATGCGGATTCGTCCGTCATCACTGGTCCCGGAGAATGGACGAGGGCGAGGATGGCGAGAACAGAGACGAATACGACGACGCAGGGGAAAAAGAGAGCTCATTAGTGCTTCACCAGATACGCCATGAATAAGCCGAACGTTGTCAAAGATATCGTCAACGGCGTCGTTGCGTTCTGCATGTCCGGCTGTTTGTCCCCGAGTCCGAACCAGTATACAAAGCAGAACGCCAGCGAAGGCATGAAGGCCAGGAGAGCGTATAGCAATACCATCATTGCTGAAATCTGTTCTCGGGCATGAAGCCCCCAGAAGGTCTCCCTGTTGTTGCTGAGCTCGTCGAAATGGGTCAGGCGTTGAGGGATCTTGGGGACGGTGTCGGTTGGTAAGTTGCCGTCGATTTGTTGCTGCAAGAGCGGGGGTGGCTGCCTGAAGCAACGAGGCCAGTAGAAGGGCGCTTGTGCCATCACTGTGAATGGCTGGTACCACGTATTGATTCTGGCTGCTGAAGTCTTTCGGTAGTGGTAGTAAATATGTTCGAACTCTTTCGGGCTGATTGGAGTTTTGGATCTCGCTGGGCGAGGTTTGTAGAAGTAGTCTTCGGTATAGGGGTACTCTTCAGGTGGCAATCCTGGGCCAAGGTCCGAGAATGTCGAAGAACAGAACTTTTCAAACTCGAAGAAATCGCAATGCGAGAACTTGTAGATGGAGAACCAGTAGCGCCAGAAACCCCTGAGTTGGCGGTACCCTCTACGAAGATTATTAGAGAAGTCCATAGTGCACTGTGAGGTTGAGATAATCTGATGGAGATTTAGAGATCCGGAGGACGCCACTAAGAAGATATGTTTCTCTCGCGTATCCACGTTTTGGGGTTGATCAGCGATTGTGTCATCACTTTCGTTCTGGACCATCGTTTCTGGGTAGGATGTGCCACCTGGACTTGATAGTATATTCGAGCCACCAATATTTGAAGGTTTGCCGCCATAATTACGGCCTTCAGTAGACACTACTGGGGCAGCCTTCGTTTCGGAGGCTCTCGCGCTAGGGCTGTGTTGGCGTACGAACTCAACCAGCACCTGCCCGAAGTCGAAAGGGACGTTTTCCCATCTTTTTTCGCCGCAGCTCTATGAATGGTCAGAGTCCCGAGGTCTGAATACGATCAGAAAGTCCACCTACACACGTCCATTCCAACTGGCATTCGTTGTCTTTCGGTGGTTGTTTTGGGGGTGTGAATGGCCACCAGGTCCATCGGTGTTTTGTCAACTCTTCCAAGGCAAATTTGACATGATCCGTCCAGGAAGTCTTGCAACTTGTTCTCATGACCATCTTGACAGGACTGGAGTGCCTAATCTCTGAGATGAGGCACATCAGCGGTTCACTTCTCCCAGTCAACTGAGCCAGCGTATGTTCCAAACCAGAGGATAGCTCTGCTTCTTCAGCTCCGGTACTGCTGCTTGAGTCGCCAATTGGCATCATACGCGATGGAGTCTCTTTCGGAGGCTCTGATATCAAGCCCCTGTTGTGTTGCGCCTCTTTAAGGGATGTTGGTGGGGTGACAAACGCGGACATTTGATCATCATCCAAGATGCAATGGGCTTCCAGGCTACTTTGATTTGGCTGACTTGAGCGCTGGTTACTTATTCCCATCAAACCCGTCGAAGCTTCTGGGGTTGTTGGCAAGGGTTTTGGGACGATCGCTGGCGTACGCATCTGAGAAGTGACCGCTACATGGCTGGCACCTTGCACCTGCTGTTGGTCTTTTAGGCTCTGACATGAGGAAACATTTGGTGATGCTATGGCATTTATAGCTTTTGTGCGAAAGTTCTGACCAAGAAAAAGGTCGACATTGCGCCATTGGTGGTCATTTTCGAGTACTAAAACGTTGACAGTCATGCAGGGGATGCCTGCTTCCGGAGCTTGGACGGACAGATGAACGAAAGAATTGAAGCTCATGAGACCAAACGGCGTTTCGTACATGTGACGGCGTTGACTTGGAGATAGCGGTAGCGTTTTGAGATTTAGGCTACGCGCAAGCAAAGGGGTTGCAAGTGAGAATTTGAAGCGAGTGTGCGCGGCAAGGCGCGTCTCGAAAGCGCCCTGCCCCGACTCAACCCTGATTTGGAGAGGGACGTCGACGGTTACACCTGTTGGCCTGTCGTCTAGGTTTTGATTGAAGAGCTCGCAATTTTCAGGGGATAGTAGACGCTGAGGCTTTGCCATAACTAGGGGTATAATCAGATAAAGTACTAGGGTGATTTACAAATCTGCTGTGACTAACCTCAAACTTTCCTCCAGCTGATTAGATGGGCCGAGGTTTAAGAAATAGGCAAACGGAAGACCAACGAAATGCGCTTACCACAAGGCTATCAAACCGCTAGGTGGATGATCACTCTTCGATACACATAAAACATTAAGCAGATCGTTGAGATGCCTCCCGATGGGTTGTGTTTGTCGGTGAGGAATTCGTTCTTTAGAATGGGTGTGTCAGGTGGTAAATTCGAGTGAGCGAATTTGACCAGCGACAACGTGATGTTGGGTTTAGGAGGGATTACAACATGTGCGGGCAAGAGAGCGCCAAAAGAAAGGCAGCGGCCTGGGCTGGTCAGGCTTCAATGCGCCGCTCACATGGTTCGCATGGATCGGAGCTGATTGGGCAGTCTACAGAGCCTCGAGAAAGAGTACAAAATGCCACTTCGTCGCTATCTCCATTCGGCAGCCTGTGGCTGTTGCTCATCATCCGCTCGGTGCCAGTTGATGCACATCGTGGCCTATCCTACTAAGATTTGGCATGCAAAAGCTATCAATATGTGCTGAATCAATATGACAGTGGAGTAGTTCAGTACACCTGCCCGTTTATTTGGCACTCAGCGTACCGTACCGGTGGTGCCGCCGGAGCTGGCACATAATGATCGGCCCTACAGCGCGGTCCCCTCCGGGCTGGAGTCGATGACAGTCACGTCGGATACAAACGCTGTGTTGCTCATTTACGATGATCTTTTGTGCTCATTCGATAACACTACATGAGTTATGCTACCACAAGATTCTTGCACGAGTGGTGTACGGGAATGCGTACACCACCTTTTCGGAAGACATGAGGATATCTTCAATCCTCATTTCCAGACATGGACGTGTACTTCGTGATCTCGAGCCAGTATACGAAGCAGAACGCCAGCGAAGACATGAAGCCCAACAGGGCGTATAGCAATACCATCATTTCTGAAATCTTTTCCCGCGAGCGGAGGCCCAAGACGCATTCTCGATGACTTCCCTCGGTTGCCTGGAAGCACTGAGGGGCTCGAGGGACAATGTCTGATGGCAGACTGCCATGTGACTTCGTACTTCCGGCCGGGGCGGGATCCAAGGCATCATCATCGTTCGATTCCTCAGTGCTGACGGCTCGGGCTGTGTTGAAATTGGCCCAATCGGGGAGTTTGCGTTTTTCGAGTCCTCTTGGTAGAGAGTCATACATAGGACCATTATCCTTGTATAAACCTGAGCCACGTTCTCCGGATTTCTCATCCCGCAGTATGAAGGTACGACCGAAATTGCTGAGGGTTTCCGACTTGATTGATGTTTTCCTGTCTGATCCATTGGACCAACTGACGCTGGAAAAGTCGTTCCAGTTCAATGGGCTGTCTTTCTCAGATCCTTCGGTCAAATGGGTGCTTGCTTCAGATGAATCAAGGCTTGAGTCATCTCTGTCGAATGGGTTGTCGAAAAGACCTGTTGCGCGCTGTTGCTGAACATCTTTGCAAGAATAGTAAAGGGATCCTTGGTCCTCTCTTTCCGTTATAGACGACGATGACGTTTCTGAGAATTCTGGTAAGGGGTGCTTCAAGCCCACTTCTGGACGTCTGTCAGAGATGGCGGCTGGGTGGCTGACACCAAGTTCCTCAAGTCTTGCGATTATCCTTCGTCCGGCCAAAAGTTCGACGCCTTGGGCTGCGACAAGCCAATCCTCGGCGACGGCAACATTGAATGTTTCAAGTCGGGAATCGCCTGCCAATGGCGACTCAACGGTGATGCTGACGAACGCTTTGCACTCGAGTATCCCAAAGGTTGTCTTGATTGTTCGTCCGGTAGGTTTATTCGGCAAAACTCGCAATCCTAACTTGTTGACGGTAGACCTGGTAATAAGCGACTGCTCACTTGCTGGCTCATATCTGGTGACGAGAGGGATAGAGTTGCCAGAGTCTTTGAGTGATTTGACCCACAACCGTGGGCAAGGTCTGCTTTCTGTATGAGCCCCGACGTCTGATGTCCTCAACTCAGTGATATTTGGCTCATGGTCTGAATCGTGCGAGTCCCTGATGAGACAACTCTGGTGCGATGTTTCTGTTTCTTCAGTTGTTTTCTGTTGAGGGGATTTGGGCTCCGCGAGGAGCGCGTCTTTTGTTCTCAAACTCGCTATGTGATTTGGCTGTGGCGATTGGTATATGGCAGCAGCATCTTGCACAGGCATTTTGTTCTGAACCACGGATTTTTGTGAACATCAGATTGAGATTGTTCAAGTGGCGGACAGATGGCTGGAAGTTCAGGCCAGGGCGTGGCTGTTGAGGCCCAATCCCCAGCATTCCTGCATAATGACCCAGTCCCCCATAAGTTTGTATGGACTGGGCTACAATACATGCAAAGCCTCTCCACTTGGCTCCGGATTGAAGGTTGCGACAGAGGCTACAGAGCTGCACATAGGACTCTCTTGTTGCTATCAACAACAGTATCCGACTTCTCTCCGAGTTGCGCTTGTAGTTTACCATCACTTTTGTCCTCACTATGACTTGCTACATCATAAAAACATATTCAATAATTAAAAGAAACGCTGCCGTGTGCCGATAAGGGGTGAAGGTTAGACTTGAAAATTCAGTCCAACTGGCGAGGTGCCCACATGACTGAGCCAGTGGATTCGTCTAAGTGATACCAATTTTGGCTTTCAACGCTCCATTTCCAAAATTGGTGAGCAGGATCCATTTCAAACTCTCTCTGACTTTCACCAACACCGTTCTCAGAAATGGCCGGCTCAGTCAGATGCTTACTCTGTCGCTCGCCCGAGCCAGCCGGAACAGACTGCTTTCTCGAAGAAGAGTAGGCTCGCTTTCCCCGTTTCTCCGCAGCTGTCCCTACATGGCCACTGTACATCGTGAAGTCTGTTGCTGGTAACGACGTTGCCTTGGATGAATGTCCCAGACGTGGGGAGTAGGAGGATTTCGTCCAGACATCACTCCGATGGGCGTCTTCGTCTGAATTTGGTACATGATGCCGGCCGTTCCCGTAAGACTGATGTGCGGAGTTATAGTCCATTCGCTCGAAGCCTACGGCTGGTGATCACTCTGGAGATGTCGTTTGTGGGCTTGAGCATCTGCAGTATCCAATCGCATCAATGAGTGATTGATTACCAGCCAAATGGCGAACATGAACTCACACAGCCAAAGTCTGCATTGAATTTCTTCAAGACTCTTGTATGTTGTCGAATTCTTAGCAAGAGGAACGTTCATGGAAGTTGAATTGAATTTGCCAGGGACAGCAGGGGGACCAAGAGATAAACCTGAGGATTTCACATCCTTCCTTGCTCATTCACAAACTTCCACAGACTCTCCCGGGTCATCCCAGAACTGAATTGTTGTGCGCATATTCAAGCATCTGTCCAGTAAGAAGACCATGCAGCATCATGCCATGGAATATTTGCAACCGATAAAAGGCCCTGTTGACAAGTTGTGGGCCAACTAACGGCTTCTCATCCCATAGGTCGTTTGGACATGGCGCCGCAACAAGCTGCGTCTTTAGATGCAGTAATCGAAAGCTACACCTTCATGCAGTAGATCTGCAAGCCACGCCGGCTAGTAAGATGGTTATAGGTGCCAGCAGTGCGTCTTTCCCACCCTCCAAGAAATTACAATTGAGAGGTGCTTATGCTGTATGATGCACCTCCAAATAATGGCTCAAAAGGAGAACTCGTGAGCCTTCGGGTCCGCCTCACTTTTTGAGGTCGCTCTAGTGTTGTATGCATGGGTGCGTTGGCATGAAAGCAAGACGCAGGCGAGCGGGGTGAATACCTAGGCCAGCGGGCCATCACCATGATCATGACCGTCGAATGCGATCATGCTGCATTTTCTAGGAGTTCAACTGCGGGGTCGGGCTGAAATTACAAATTGGACTTCCATCGATAGATACGCAGCGTCACGTCTGGAGTAGTCTTCACCTTAACAACTACACGAAGAACCTATGCAGATTTCGGTCAAAGTCCTGGCAGTTCAGACATCTGTGAATAGAGTCCGCTCAGCAGCCTCACTCGGGAGACGTGCTAGGGTATGAAACGGGCTGCCTAGGCTCTCCAGGTTGCCTTTCCTTAGTAGTCCGCAAGGAAAGTAGGCAACCGGGCAGGGAGCATCACGGTTTCCCATTAGATTTAAGCACAAACTCCGGGGCGGAGTTTTGGCATTTCAGCTGTGCTACGTTTGAACTTGACAGTATTCTGGTCCCATCCGTGCACTCTTTCTCGTCCGCTCTTTTGTTTATCATCGCGTCTCTCTCCGACGATTGTCATAGGCGACCACACCCGCTGAGAGCGATCACACAGATACATCTCCCACACTCATTAGGACAAGGCGAATGTCAGACCGTCCAAAGACTGGGACTTGCCTGTGAGATCCAGTGTCAGTTCGAAGACATCTTAATCATTTCCACAACCCAACGACATCAGCACGAAATCGAGCGAGATCTGGTGCAAAGCTACCACCCGAGCAACAGCACGAAGCGGCATTGAGTTTAACTCAAGTTGCACAAGAAACGAAGTCGGGCTCGAATTGTAAATCGACCAGTCGTGGTACAGTGGCGTACTACAGTATATCCAATCATGTCGACAACATCATGTGGACTACCGACCGAACAAAACAAGATATCGACTTTAAACACGACTGAGACACCCTTACATAGTATCGAAGGTCGCTTCTTCCACGTAGAGATCGAATCGGGCAGTGGCATCCTTCGAACTCACATGGCCGCCAACACCAGTTGGGTGTTCTCGGTTGTGACTGCCATGCTTGCCAACACATTAGGTCTCAGGACGATCCCAATGACACCTACACAACGACAACATCCATACCATACGCCATTTGGTATCAAATACCTGAGGGATTACGTCGACATGCGGATCCGGGCTCCATGCTCTGGGATCCATCAATTTGTGCTCATTCATGTTGGCGTTCTAGGCTCGGAAGAAGTGG